GCAAGGATGATTAGACCAGAAGAAAGACGTCAGTGCCGGCATCATCACTGCATTTCGCGATCAGAACTCACCTGGGGTCAAAAGATCGAGGCAGAGGCCAACGTTATTCATTGCATCCGCGAACAATCTCCATTGCTTTGGCTTGCAATCAAATCCTGTGCCCTGAAGACTGGCGAAAACGACGCCCGCCAACATGCCGGCGATATCTCGCATCAAAAAAATGAAGACAGCCGATAGCGCCGAGGCGCTCTCCACACCAACACCGACGCCCTTCATCAGGGCATGGGAGGTGAGCATACCCCTGACGTACGAGCTGAAACCTTGGATCGTGTCCCACCTGGCGTAAGACAAAAACGTCAAAGGTCGTTAGTAAAGCCAACAAACTCAACCGACCGACCAACCGGTTCTGTGAACTGTGAAAATAGCTCACATTTGAAAGGGCAGGTAGTCTGCGGGCACAGACTCCGGAAACCCTTGGGGGAGAAACATCCTCACAAAGAGGTTCCGCAACGGGCGGAAGAGCGACAATCCACCCCCTTTGCCACTGCCTTGTTTATGGACTGAAAAATCCACGTAAAACTCTCTGCCATCGACATCGACGCGGTAGCACCCCAGGGCATTCCGCGGAAAGATGCTCACGTCCGTGCGACCGGATTGAGGGACAAGATACAGGCCCTCATAGGGTGCCACCTCGCCATCGTCGCCACGCCTCACCCCAGCAACAGTGCGGTGCCAGTAGTGTCCTTCTCCCTCCCGCAAAACGCCTTTGGTCTCCTTCGTGCCGGCCCCCGGTCTCTTCCCCTTGTAGATGATCGCCCACGGAACGCGGCAAACATCCTTCATCGGTATATACTCTGCATTCCCCTCCATCTCTGAACAACCTCAGTCTTCCGCCCTCGTTACCAACCTCCTTCTGTGAAGAGGAACCTCTCCTCCCCAGTGCGTGCACGCACGCACTCCCTTGTTTTTGGATGACGTCCCTCGTCCAACCGCGAGCCAAAACAGACAAAGCGACGGATCGATAGAAAGATCTTGAGGCACGCAGCTTCGGTTTTACGTCCTCCTCCACCTCTCTCGCGGTGTGACGCTCGCTTGAGTCGTAGCCTTAGCGCCCTGCCCCGCCTCCCTCTGGACCTGGACAAACAAATCAAATCAAATCAAATCATTGTGTTTCAGTCTCTCCGATCCTCATCACGGCGTCGAACGAAAGAGCTCTACACAAAGCTTGGACCTGTGAGCTTTCCAATACGTTGCCTCCCACAACTTACCTGTTGCCGAAGCACAAGATCACAAGATCAAAACCAAACCCATCAGAAAACAAGCCACAAAGTGAGCCTCAAATCCTCGTCACGACGTCGTTCCTTTCCATGGAGACGTCTACGGAAAGATCACGAGATGCGTCATGTGTCTACGACCCACTCCACGACCTCCGCACTCCCCCTCGTCTGGTATCGTTGGACGTTGTCCTTACCTCCTCTTGCTCTTGGGTTCGCCGTGGTGATCGATCGCATTGGTGCAAATCGATCGACACTCCTGAGACGACCGGACCGTTACGATCAAACGACAGACGAGGCGAAGACGGGAGCAAGAGCGAGAGGAGGAGGGAACGATCGCATCGCATCGCATCGCGAGCAAGACAACGAACAAAGACCGAGAGAGAGACACACGGAGACGGAAGGGTACGGGGCGGTGCGGTGTGGTGCGGTACGATCGCGAGGGGAAGAGGTGTTGAGTTGCAGAGGTGTGAGGGGTGCATGCATTGAGGTGTGAGGTGTTGAAAGGGTCAGGCAGTATGTCGAGCAGGAGGCAGAGTCAGAGGATCAAGGGGGTAGCAGCAGAGGATGCAGTGGCAGAAGCAGAACCGAAGGTCGTTGCGGAGGCGATGGTGATCGAGAGAGAAGGGGAAGGGACGGGATATCAGGGGGAGGGCGGCGTGAGCGAGGTGAAGAAGGGCAGCTCATCTCAGGCCTGCTCGGGAAGCGAGGACACGGAGGAATGCGGGAATACCTTTGCGATCGGCGAGAGCAAGCAGAGAGGCCAGATGACGGCAGTGAATCTCGAGCCGGGCAGTGGGGGCGGTGACCACCCCGTGGAGGCGGGCAGTGCCGAGCGTGCTCGTGGATCAGCCCCTTGCGAGGTTGATCAAGTGCGGGCCCAGGGCGTGGGACAGGCGTGTGTGGGGCAAACCCAAGAGGGCAAAAGACCCAAATCTGAAAAGCCCGCTCGAAGGGGCAGCACCTCTACCCTCTCGAGCCAGCAAGGGGGTCGCAAGACCTCCTCGAGATCTTCGGCGGGCACGAAATCAAGGAGGTCCTCCGCGAGCGGGAGCGTGAGCTCAGGGTCCAAGTCAAGAAGGGCCAAGCCAGTGGTGTCAAAGTACCGCGGAGTCGCAGTGCACAGGTGGACAGGAAGATGGGAAGCACACATTTGGGAGAACGGAAAGCAGCTGTACCTGGGCAGCTTTGAGACAGAAGAGCAGGCGGCGCGGGCGTACGACAAAGCGGCGATCAAGCTGAAGAAGGACAATGCTGTCTTGAACTTCAAGCTTGAGGAGTACCAGAGGGAGTTGGAGTCGCTGGCTGAAATGACCAAGGAGGAGCTCATCACTTCGCTTCGAAGAGACAGCGCGGGCTTTGCCCGAGGCACAAGCCATTTCCGGGGCGTGAGTTGGAGAGCCCAGACGGGCAGGTATGAAGCAAGGATCGGTCGGCTTCTCGGCAGGAAGTACACGTACTTGGGAACGTTCAAGAGTGGAGAAGATGCCGCAAGAGCGTACGACCACGCTGCAATCGTGTCTCGAGGCCGCGAGGCAATCACAAATTATCATTTGAGCGAATACAAGGAGAAACTGGAAGAGATCGAGAAGGCGACGCCCGAGGAGCGCCGCCGCATGGAAGAAGAAATCATTTTGAGGCCTCAAGCAGTTGGAGCAAAGCAAAGAAGGAAGAGATTTGAGGCTTCGACGAGTGACTCCCAGATCAGTGGCAAGTCACAGACAAGTCTTGCCGAAAAGGAGGACATCATTCAAGAAGAGGACATGGAGGAAAGAAGGTTCAAGAGGATCAAGAGTTGCCCCCCAGCTATGCTGTCTGACAAGCTTGGTGTCAGCTCAAGCTTTGAGAGAAACATCTCTGTGAACTTTACCCTTACCACTCAAGAGCTTGAGATTGCGGGTATTGGCACAGGGGGTTGTGGTCCCGCGGGCCCCAAGGCGCTGGCGCCGGCGAAGAGGTCTCAGCAGTCTCAGAAAAAGCAAGCCAAGGTGAACCAAAGGAAGTACGAAAGGACGACTACATTGCGCGAGCGTACCTTTCAGAGGAGCCTGACTGGAAATGTGAGGCTCCCCACCAAGGTCAACAACCCCTCGCTTCCGCATCAAGTTGCGTACGCCCACGAGGGGAGGTGCAATCAGCCCCAAATGGGTCATCATTATACCGGGCCCACATTCAAGCCCAATCCACCGAGTGCAATCGAGAAGCTGGACTTGCTGATGGGCGATTACTTTTCCGGACTTCCTGACGGGTCACACCACACGTGGAGCCAAACCATCAGCGACATCGAGCAGGGCTATCCCGAACCCATCGGGGCAATGCTTGGGATGACTGCATGTGAAACAAATTTCATGCCACCGGGGATGGTGAATCACCCCCCGGGATTCCATCAGAGGCCAGCTGATCAGCATGGACCCATTTTCAATGGCCAGGTTCCCACACAAAACATGTTTCACTGGAACGCACCAAACGAGCAACTGCAAGGAAGCTTGGGCGACGCGCAAGGCCTTTCAGACCTTGACAGGATGATGTTTCAAGAAGGGGATATTCCTATTGAAAACATTCGGAACACCGGTGTGAAGCAAGAGGAAATCAACCCAATGGAGTTGAAACAAGAAATGAACGCAATGGATGGCCTCGACGGGCCCAGCATGACAAATATCCTCATGGATCTTGGCTTTGCCGGGGACAATCTCTTTACCTGGCACACCTGAAATACTTCTGGTGGGAAAGAGTTGGCAGAAGTGGCTTTGAATTCTTAGGTAAGATCACTCTTTTTCCCGCAACATGCTACACTGAGATAGTGTGCTTCCTTCTCCCCTCTTCGCAGGACAAAAAAATGGCGCGCGGGCAGGTGAAAAGCTGAGTTAGAGGGAGGGAGTCAGTCAGTGTTCAAGTGCAACAAGGAGCAGGCAGGTGGTTTTATCCGAGGTTCTTCGTCCAAGGAAAGCTATTTGGCATCTGGTAGAGCTGACACAGCGCAACTGCGTTGGAGTTGGCATGCCGAAAGAGCGCCAGAGACACTCTCTGAACGGAATCAAAGCAGCTTCAAGCGGAGTCCCCAAAATGGGCCAAAACTTTACCAGTGAAACTCAAAACGAGCTGATCCAGCCTCATTGAATCAGTGAAACTGTTTCACACCTTTGAAACAACACTTTTCATTCACTAGAAATGTATCACTGGCCACCGCGACCGCGGCCGATGTCCAGGTCGGAGACAGGCGTCTGCCGGGTCCCACCCCTCTGCTCGAGGAGCGAAGCGGGTACGCTGATGAGTTGGTTGGGAGGGACAACAAGGAAGTTCTTGACAAACGCAAACAACAAAACGGGCATCATCGTGGACTCCACGTTGCGGACATTCATAGTAGTCCTCAGCACCTGGCTCCTCCCTTCAAGTCCAAGCCAAGGCATTCATTCCAAATTTGACATTCCAGCATTTCGTACTTTTGACTCAGGTGGACGACTGAAGCCATTGCAAGACGGGCGCCTTGTCAGGGAGGGGGACTAGTGTAGTGAAGACGAAACCAAAGAAAAAATGGTGAGCTAGCGTAGCCAGGGGTTTATTTCGTGCCCAGCAAAAGCACTGCCAAAGTTTTCTTCTTTGCTCCCCCGCTCCCCTCTCTCTCTCTCCCTCTCTGACCAAGACGGCGTTTTCGTTGTCTCTCTTTCTCTTTCTCTTTCTCTTTCTCTTTCATTGACACCACGTTCTTGGTTTCGCTATGGCGCAGGCTGCAACGGCTGCTGTGGAGGACACGTTCAAGCGTATCAATTCGCATAAAGGTGTCGAGGGTATAATTGTCGTGAGCAACGACGGCATACCCATTCGCACGACTCTCGAGCCAGAGATTACCGTCCAATATGCTGCCCTCGTGACCCGCTTCACGGAGAAGTCAAAAAGTGTCTTGACGCAAGTGAACGGGGAGGTAAGTGACTTGCTTCTTTGAAGCATTCTGAGCTTGTTCTGTTCGGAGATGATAGTTGCTGACCTTTCGGTTGCTCTACCCTAACAGGACGACCTGAAATTCTTGAGGATACGTTCGAAGAAGCATGAGATTATGATTGCACCGGACAAGGACTACACCCTGCTTGTGATTCAGAAGCCAGCAGTGAGCTGAAGCGGCCTTCAGTAGAGTCTCTTTCAAACCGTATTGTGAACCATGCTTTGGAAATAATTTACTTGTCTACACAATGTACAACATAAAAATCATAATCATACAGTTTACTTTACAACCCGTTCCCCGTCTCCCTCGGTCAATTTCTGGAGACAGAGTTGTACAAGTGCTGCAGCGTTGCATGGTTCATTCTCAAGTCTTCCAAGTTTTGCTGGTCCTCGGTCAGTTCTGATCCGTGGTCCCTCGGCAAATACTGGCTGTGGCCACCAATGTTGCCATTACTAAAGCTTTGTCTGCTCAACACAGAGGCTTGCATCTCGCTGTGGAGGCTCATTGACTGCAAGTAGCTGGACTTCACCTCCTTAAACGAATCGAGAAAGTCCTTGCCACGGTCATCTGGCTCCCAGTGGTCATAATGGTTGCAGAAGCTGACAAAAGACTTTTCCATCTTTCCCTGCCTCGAGCGTAACTTCTTCTCACTCTGGAACTGCGATCCATACCGTTGGTTCCCATGCCTTTCAAAGTTGAACATGGCCAAGCTGCATACGTGCCCCACGCCCTCAATGTCCTCCGTGAAATCCCGGATGAAATCCAGTATTCTTGGGGCACACTCTGGGAGAGAGAAGAAGAGTATGAACGGAGTCAAGAAGATGCTCGCGATCTCTTCGAAGAAGATTGTCACTTTCAGCTTGAACAAAGACCTGAATTCGCTTTGAACTGTCTTGGTGTGGCACTTCCCCCTCCACCTTCTCGGAAAGTAATGGGTGCTCTCCACAACGTCTACCATGTACTCCTCTGGCTTGTACGGTATCGGTTCGTCGGGTATGAAAGAGCGGGAGACCGCAAGGATCAGGCCGAAAAACGCCGTGTACCATATGAAGTTCTGGCCCTTGAAGAAGGGCTTCTCTAGTATCGGCCCGCTCATGACTCCGATGGCGAGGCAGGTCGCAGCAAACGATCCAGCTATGAAAGCAACGAACTTTGCGATCTGCGTGTGCATCGGGGTCGGGAACTGCAGGACGTACTTTGTGGCAGCCTTGTGCGAAGCATCGAGTCTCCTGTTAAGGTGGTCCTCTAACTCGTTGAACTCCCTCATCTTCCAGCG